GATGAGGTGAATCATAGAACTGATGAGGGGAAAAGGTTGAGTGGTGCACTTAGGAGTCTGTGGAGACAAAGAACTTTGTCCTTGGAGGCAAAGAGGGGAATGTATGAGAGTATAGTTTTACCAACGCTCTTATATGGTGTGAAGCTGGTGATGAATGTTGCAGCGAGGAGAAGGCTGGAGGCAGTGAGATGCATGTCTGAGGGCAATGTGTGGTGTGAATATAATGCAGAGAATTCGTAGTTTGGAAGTTAGGAGGAGGTGCGGGATTACCAAAACTGTTGTCCAGAGGGCTGAGGAAGGGTGTTGAGGTGGTTCGGACATGTAGAGAGAATGGAGCGAGACAGAATGACTTCAAGAGTGTATCAGTCTGTAGTGGAAGGAAGGCGGGGTAGGGGTCGCCTAGGAAAGGTTGGAGGGAGGGGTAAAGGAGGTTTTTGTGCGAGGGGCTTGGACTTCCAGCAGGCGTGCGTGAGCGTGTTTGATAGGAGTGAATGGAGACGAATGGTTTTTTAATACTTGACGTGCTGTTGGAGTGTGAGCAAAGTAACATTTATGAAGGGGTCAGGGAAACCGGCAGGCCGGACTTGAGTCCTGGAGATAATAAGTACAGTGCCTGCACTCTGGGGGAGGGGTGTTAATGTTGCAGTTTAAAAACTGGCAAGACAGTGATGGAGTGAATGATGGTGAAAGTTTTTCTTTTCGGACCACCCTGCCTTGGTGGGAATCAGCCAGTGTGATAATAATAAAATAAATAATTGTTCGAGTTGAGAGCAGTTCGAAACACAGGGTACCACTGTATCTGAGAACATTCAGTTCTTCCATACCCCCTCTCTCCAATGTAATATCCAATTTTTTTTATCTAAATCATTTGATACCCTCATCATCTTACTCTTTTCTATGTTCACTTTCAACTTTCTACCTTTACACACCCACCCAAACTCATCCACTAACTTTTGCAACTTTTCTCTTTAGAATCTCCCATAAGCACAGTATCATCAGCAAAAACTAACTGTGTCAACCCCCATTTTGTATTTGATTCCCCATAATTTAATCCAACCCCTCTCCCCAACACCCTAGCATTTACTTCTATTACATACCCATCTATAAATATATCAAAACAACCATAGTGACATTACACATCCCTGTCTAAGACCTACTTTTACCGGGAAGTAGTCTCCCTCTTTTCTACACACCCTAACCTGAGCCTCACTATCCTCATAAAAACTCCTTACAGCATTTAATAACTTACCACCTATTCCATATACTTGTAACATCTGCCACATAGCTCCCCTATCCACTCTATCATATGCCTTTTCTAAATCCATAAATGCAATAAAAACTTCCCTACCTTTATCTAAATACTGTTCGCATATATGCATCAATGTAAACACTTGATCTACTCATCCCCTACCCACTCTAAAACCTCCTTGCTCATCCGCAGTCCTACATTCTGTCTTACCTCTAATTTGTTCAATAATAACCCTACCGTACACTTTTCCTGTATACTCAGTAAACTTATTCCTCTAAATTTTTACAATCTCTTTGTCCCTCTTCCCTTTATATAAAGGGACTATACATGCTCTCTGCCAATCCCAGGTACCTTACCCTCTTTCATACATTTCTTTCTTTTTTCAACACACTGGCCGTATCCCACCGAGGCGGGGTGGCCCAAAAGAAAAAACGAAAGTTTCTCCTTTTACATTTATTAATATATACAGGAGAAGGGTTACTAGCCCCTTGCTCCTGGCATTTTAGTCGCCTCTTACAACACGCATGGCTTACGGAGGAAGAATTCTGTTCCACTTCCCCATGGAGGTAAGAGGAAATAAACAAGAACAAGAACTAGAAAGAAAATAGAAGAAAACCCAGAGGGGTGCGTGTATATATGCTTGTACATGTATGTGAAGTGTAACCTAAGTGTAAGTAGAAGTAGCAAGACATACCTGAAATCTTGCATGTGTCTGAGACAATAAAAAGACACCCGCAATCCTACCATCATGTAAAACAATTACAGGCTTTCGTTTTACACTCACTTGGCAGGACGGTAGTACCTCCCTGGGCGGTTGCTGTCTACCAACCTACTACCTACATTAAGAAAAAGTGAAGTCATTATATGACAACTTAAAGTAAAAGAAAAATGAAGGAACTAAAGCTGGAGAATTTAACACCAGCAAGGGATGATTTGATAATTCAGAAACAGGTTTGGCTTAAAAAATGTCAAGATAACAGGAGAGCAGCTTCTACCGACCAAGAGGCAGCAGATAAGTTCCCAGACATCATTAAGAAAATTACTAAGGAAAAGGGATATCTGCCTGAACAGGTTTTTAATGCAGATGAAAGTGCCCTATTCTAGAAAAAAAATGCCACAAAGGACCTTTATTAGTAAGGAAGAGAAGTAAGCAATACTGATGTAGGTACTGACAAACGATTCATCTTATAAACAGACGACATAAACTTACAGTATCGATAAATACAATGGACCCTCGGTTAACGATATTAATCCGTTCCTGAGAGCTCATCGTTAGACGAAATTATCGTTACCTGAATTAATTTTCCCCATAAGAAATAATGGAAATCCAATTAATCCATCCCAGACAGCCAAAAGTATTGAAAAAAAAAAAAAAAATTCATGAAATATACATTTCCCTACACACAAAACAATGACACATGCACAATAGCTATACAAATAAATGTTAAAATGACACTTACCTTTATTGAAGAGTACTGATGAGTGATGAGTTTTTCTTGAACACACTGGGATTTTCAGAGTGATACATGAGTAAAGGCTTCACTTTGCAATCCCTACTAGCATTACAACACAACAAGAAAGTTAGCCTGCATTTCATAGGCTTGTGTCCTGGGAGTGCCTTTTTCTCCTGAGTAATGTAGGTCCTGTTTGGCATTTTCTTCCAGAACAGGCCTGTTTCATCACAAATGAACACTTGCTGGGGTTGGAATTTTTCAGCTTTGCCATGCCTTATCACACTGTGTATGCCACTACGATTCTTAAATCTCTCAAACCAAGCTTTGCTGGCCTTCAATTCACTAATATGAGCACTAGTTCCAGGAATTTTTCCTGTTCACCTGGGTGTTAGTCGACTGGTGTGGGTCGCATCTTGGGGGACAAGATTAAGGACCCCAATGGAAATAAGTTAGACAGTCCTCGATGACTCACTGACTTTCTTGGGTTATCCTGGGTGGCTAACCCTCTGGGGTTGTTTCTCGGTAACTGTTTCTCGTTAAGCCACACCAACACAGTCTCTCCACATCTTCGAGTAGTACAGCTGACGGTGATGCAGCAGCAGCTGACCATGGTACGATAGTACAGTGGACCCCCGACTAACGATATTATTTCAATCCAGAAGTCTGTTTGGGTGCCGTTATAGACCAAATTTGTTCCCATAAGGAATATTGTGAAGTAGATTAGTCCATTTCAGACCCCCAAACATACACGTAGAAAAGCACTTACAAAAATACACTTACATAATTGGTCAGTTGGGAGCTCATCGTTAGTCAGGGGTCCACTGTATTTTGATAGTATCTGACTTATGACCTGCTCGACATACGACCATTCGACTTACGACTGTGTTTTCTATGCCAAATTTCTGGAAATAAACAACTGTTTGTGTTGTACAGTGTTTATCCTAAACCTTACAGTACTAACAGCATAAAAAGTAAAGTAAAAAATGAAATACCAAAATAAAACAATAAAATAAAGTCATTACAAAAATGTGATGTTGATATTCAGTAGTGAGGTTTGACTTACGTACATTTCGACTTGCAACCAGTTTGTCGGAACCGAACTCAGTCGTAAGTCGGATGGTACCTGTATTTCTCGCCCTTTTTACCACAGGATTGGCACTAGAAGCTTTCTTTGGGCCCATTGGTGGCTTATTTAGCAGTTACAAGCACTATAAACAATGGAATAATACAAAATGTATCGAATGTATGCATGAAATCGGCCACCGGTCCAGCCTGAGCGCCTCAGCTGCCGGACAGGCAGCTGAGGTGCTCAGGCTGGACGGACAGGTTCGGGACGAATCACGTTGGGCAAGTTTTTTATCGTTAGCCAGGCCAAAATTTTTATGTTCAAATGCTTCGTTTGGCAGATTTAACATTATGCGATGTGTTTGTTAGCCGAGAGTCCACTGTACAGTACAGTACTGTATGTGTATTTTCTCTTCCTTATGATATTCTTCATAGCATTTTCTTTTCTCTAGCATACTTTATTGTAAGAATACAGTATATAATACATATAATTCACAAAATGTTTGTGTACTAAATTTTTTATGTTATCGGTAAGGCTTCCGGTCAACAGTAGGCCATCAGTAGTTAAGTTTTTGGAGAATCAAAAGTTATATGCGGATTTTCGACTGTGGAGGGGGTTGGTGCCCCTAACCCCCACATTGTTCATGGTCAATTTTAAGTAAATACAGTATTTCCCACTCTACTTGTTGAATGAAACAATAAAAACAAATTCTTCTTTCAACAAACCGGCTGTATCCCACTGAGGCATGGTGTCCCAAAAAGAAAAAACAAAAAGTCTCTCTTTTTAACTTTAGTAATGTATACAGGAGAAGGGGTTACCAGCCCCTTGCTCAAAGCATTTTAGTTGCCTCTTACGACATGCATTTCTTATGAAGGAAGAATTCTGTTCCACTTCCCCATGGAGATAAGAAATAAACAAGAACCGTAAGAAAAAAGAAAACCCAGAGGGTTGTGTATGTATATATTCTTGGACAGGCATGTGTAGTGTGACCTAAGCGTAAGAAGAAGTAGCAAGACGTACCTAAAATCTTGCATGTTTATGAGGCAGGAAAAAAAGACACCAGCAATCCTACCATTTTAAACTCACTTGGTAGGATGGTAGTACCTCCCTGGGCAGTTGCTGCCTACCAATCTACTACCTAGGCTCCCTACATGCAGGAGCATCAATATCATTGGGATACTACATTGAAATGTCTACATTTTAAAAGAAAAAATTATGCACTTAAACGCACTTGCAATTGATTTGTTTTTTGTAATTGGTTGGCATATTCATTCTTGCTGTCTTCACACTGTTGACTCTTAATGCTGGCATTCATCCGTTGCTTCTCTACTTCAGCACGGGACAAGTGTAAGTCAGCATCTGCCTTTAAGTAGTTTTCTTGAGCCTGAGGAAGAGTGAAATATACAGAGCAACAGAATAAGTTCCATGGGGTTAGTACCAAATTTATTGAACATGAAACCAAACTAATATATAAATAAGAATAACAGTAACTGTAACCTAATTTTTTAAACAATAACAACAGCTATACCTCTGTCTGGCGCTCAGCAGACGGAGGATCGAGCCTCTATTACGTCTTGTGCTGAATGACCCACATGGGTCTAGCGCTTAACATGAATTAAATAACTTCAAGAGTTTAACTATTCTCGGAGCCCAGCCATGGGCCAGGCTAGCAATGCTGGACAATGTCTGGAATGTACTAAAACAAATTCCATAATAATATAAAAAACCTGCCTATTTTCAAAATATACTGTAAAATAAAAGATCAAGGTAGGTTATTCTCTTAAAGACAGTTATCAGTCTACTAGAAAGGAAAATATTAGGAAGCCTTTGGCCCTTTATGGTTACAGAGTTAGCCCATAATACATTTACCTCCTCTATCTTCATTTTGTGAAGTACTGTACAGAATATCTTTCTCACCCGCATTCCAGGGAGTAACTTGAGGGATTTTTAGGATTCAAAATAATTCAGATGTTTGGAAAGGATGGAGCAGAATGGGATGATGAAGAGGGTTTATAAATCTAGGGTGGAAGGAAGGAAGGAAGGGTAGCAAGTTGTCCCAGGAAGGACTGAAAGGTGTGAAGATGGTTATACCTTTGACATATGTTTGATGAGTTTCGAGAGTCATTCTATTCCCATAGCTTGGCCTTGGGCCAGGCTTGTCTGGTGTTAGCCTGGTCAACCAGGCTGTTGCTGCTGGAGGCCCACTGCCCCACACATCCATCACAGCCTGGTTGATCTGGCACTTGGTGAAGATACTTGTCCAGCTTCCTCTTGAAGACTTCTGCATTTGTTCCAGCAGTGTTTCTGATATCTTCACATTGTCTGAAACATTGTGAAGTTGAAGTGACAGTATGGAGCCTTATGTACTGTCATGAGGTGAGATGTAGGCCACTAGTAGAAGAAAGAATGTAATCACTGAGAGGTCACATCCCTTTCAAATCCAACCATTCTCACTTGTAGAAGTTGTCCAGGGTGTTTTCTGTTCTGTACCAAGATACCATTGTGTTGCAGTGTCTGACAGAGTGAATATTAAAATGGTATAAAATATTGACAGGTTGTTAGGTAGGATACATATGCAACAGTTAGGTACCTTTACTTCGAAATTTTTCACAAAACGTAGGCGAAACATTTCGAAATAAAGATACCTAACAGTTGCATATGCGTCTTACATAACAACCTGTCAGTTATTCTATACCATTTTAATATTCACTCTGTCAGACACTGCAACACAAAGGTATCTTGGTACAGAATAGAAAACACCCTGGACAACTTCACAAGTGAGAACAGTTGGATTTGAGAGGGACGTGACCTCTCAATGATTACACTCTTTCTTCTACTAGTGGCCTACATCTCACCTCATGACAATATATAAGGCTCCATACTGTAAAGTAAAAGGACACAAGTGCAACTAATGTGACATTTTTTATCGTGGAAACATTTCACTCTCCAGGAGCTTTGTCAAGCCATTATGGTCCAAATAACGTCTGCATGAAATGTCCATTATGTTGCGGTGTCCGACAGATTGTAATAATGTTGTGGCAACGTTACCACAATAAAAATGTCACATCAGTTGCACCTGTGTCCTTTTACTTTACATATTGTCGGTAATTCTACCAACATTATTACAAGGCTCCATACTGCCACTTCAACTTCATACTGTTTCAGACTATGGAACAAATACTCTTCTCCAAGCTAAGGAACTGACCACCTCAAAACTACATCTTCAAGGATGATGGACTAATTAAATCATCTTCACATCTCTTGTGCTTCTACCAACTTTTCTGTATGCGACTGAAGAAGCCTACTGTGTAGGCGAAACGTTTCGAAATAAAGATACCTAACTGTTGCACGTGTGTTTTACCTAACAACCTGTCAGTATTTTATACCATATTAATATTCACTCACAAACTTCTCTGTCACAACTTTCTTTTTTTACTACTGTATGCTACTCTTCCTGCACATAAATATCAAGTCCTCGGAAAAATTACAGTACATATAACAATCATATTAAGCACCGATACTTTGTAACCGCTCTGAGAACATTAGTCAGTCAGGCGTCATTACCACAGGTCTTAGTGATCATTTCATCATTTACTGCACCAGGAAAATCACTAGGGATAGGATAGGCCTACACAGGACAATAAAAATGAGGTCAACTAGAAACTACAGTAAAGAAACACTGGTAAATAGGCTACACAATTGTGACTGGACAGAGATAACAAGTTGCACGGACAGTAAACGATGCCTGGGAAAAATTCAAAACAATGTTCACTACCATCCTTGATAATATTGCACCAGTTAAAGAGGTTAGGATTAAACGAAGAACTGAACCCTGGATGAATACTGAGATGTTAGATATATATGAAATTCAGAGACCAGCTGCTAAAAAGATTTAAAGCAAACAGACAGGATATTGCAGCACTAAATGAATTCCAAAGGGTAGGAACAGAGTACAGAGACTTATAAAGAGAGCAAAGGCAAAGCACTACTGCTCAAAAATTGAAGAGTATAAGCATAACCCCAGAAAGCTCTGGCAACAACTAAAACAGTTGGGGTATAGCCTAAGCCAGTAGAAAGGTCTAACAGTAGTACTCACTATCGATAATGAGGTATGCCACGAAACATCTAAGGTGGCAAATTGCTTTAATTCATAACTACACATCTGTTGCATCAACACTATTAAGTAAACTACCAGCTGCATCAAATACCTTTAACACAGACTCTGATAAGTTTCAAACATACTATACCAATAAAGGGTACCCCAAACAGTTGTCAACTAGTAAGTGTATCTCATGACTTTATTCAAAAAGAACTAAGCAGGTTAAACCCAGCTAAGAGCACAGGCCCTGATAACATCCCGTCTAAGTTCCTAAAAGATGGTGCTTCGAACTGTCAATCCCTATTGCTCACATAATAAATCTATCAATCACCACTAATACCGTACCGGAGGAGTTCAAGGAGGCCAGAGTTACTCCTATCTTCAAGAAAAATAGTAGGTCTGATGTAAGCAACTATAGGCCTGTTAGTATACTCAGTATAATATCTAAATTCTAGAGAGGGCGGTGTATTCTCAAGTAGTCAAGTACCTTAATGACAACAACATTCTCATAGCTATCAATCGGGCTTTAGA